ATACTAGAGTGAATTTTAAAGAATGCTTTTATTCTATTGTGGTTTATGCGCTGTCGGCGAAGTAGATTTAATTCAATCCAATAAGTTTAAATGAAATGCAAGAAAAAATGCGTATAATTTAATATTCCAATACAAGGAAGTCATGTGGTGTATACATCAGATTTTTTACTTTAAAATTGTGATAAAAATAAATATTTGATTTGATGAGTTGTAACTATTACACATTAGTCTTTCACTAGCTGCAACTATAATATAATGCAGATTACAACCATCTTAGCGTAGCATGCCAGAGCTAAATACTCAATTTATTTTCTTTTGTATTTTACGGATTGAAGGATGATATTGATGTTGTTTAACTGCTTATTTGCATTTGCTTGCATATTACTCATCTAGTGTCGGCTGTGCAAAGCATCGTTTAACAAAGTTCGTTTCGTTTCCAGAATTGTTTTATTTTTTTTCCCTCTTCAAGACACATTTAATTCATACCACGCATTGTTTTTTCATTTATATAACAACACCATATTTACACTTAAATGCAGTTTAAAGTATCCCTTTCACTCTGTTTGTCCTCTCGGACAAGCTCCTAGCTAATCTTAGCAGAGAGAAATAGGATTATTTTCTTCTAACAAGGATAAAATGAGGCAGAAAATTCATTACTTTTAATGCTAAGCTGTTGTACAGACCTTAACATTTCCTTCAACCGCTAAATCTTCTGCATCCTCACAGATCTTATTTTCAATTATATTTTATTAAAATAATTTGTATCAAAGCCATATTACAATTTCAGTTACAAATTTACTAAATGTAGTATTACTTTGTCTAGGCAATGTGTCCTTAGAGTTTTGCAGTCTCTATAAACATACTGCTGAACTGCTATTATGAAGGAAGACAAGTTGCCAGTTTCATCTTACCATTTCGTTCAGCTTTACATGCCAGTTTCCTTTCCAGTAATCCAGTTTTAAATAAAAATACGGAGCACATCTGCAGAACTTCCAAGAAGATTATTTCATTTAGATTCTTGGGAAAAGTAGTTTTTTTTTAAGCATTTGGTTTCACACTGCTGAATAAATAAAAAGGTAAGCCATTTAATATCATAATTTAACCACGTTTGATGAAACATGAATTGAAACGACAGTCTAACTTTTCTGATATAAATATTGTTAGTCCAAGGGGGCAATTTGCCTAGAAGGACAATTAATTTTTTTTTGGCGTTTTGCTTTGATTCACTACAAGCGTAGTTTCACTTTTCAAATTGTTGCCACCAAATATTATCGCCCTGTATTATATTTAAAGAAATTAAATAATGAAGAATCTGCATAAATGTATGCATGTTTCTCGCATTGTGATAAAACAACGGTACAAAGATCCATCAAATTTGGAATAACGTAATCTTTTGCGAATATGGGCATCTGGAAGCCGAAATTTGAAATTTGGAATTTGTTTTATTGTCAGTTTTATATTTTGTAAAACTTTAACGAATTTTTGATTAACAAACTCAACGATTTCAAAGCGAGCAATGGCAACGTTGTACAGAAAAAAAAAACGGTTTTATCTCCAGCGCGCGAGACTGTGTATCGGAAATTCTAAGGATATGATCACTTTAAAATTATTTTGAGATATTGCTCTTGAACTGAGTTTGATGGTTTAAATGCGAAGAACGTGATATTTAATAAATAAAGGTAACACACAAAATGTTAAAAACACGCCCTTTTGGACGTAATTTAAAATATGAAACCTTTCAGATTTTTTTTTTTTTTTGTTTTTGTTTTTTTCAGTCTTAATTTGTTACTTTATTTTGTTTTGTGGTGAGTTTTCATTGCCATTTCTGAAATTACATAAAAAACATTTAATATCATAATTTAACCACGTTTTATGAAACATGAATTGAAACTACAGTTTAACTTTTCCGATAAAAAATATTGTCAGCGTTAATTTGCTACTTGATTTTGTTTTGAGTTTTCATTGTCATTTCTGAAATTACATAAAAACACTTAATATCATAATTTAACCACGTTTGATGAAACATGAATTGAAACTGCAGTTTAACTTTTCCGATATAAATATTGTTAGTCTTAATTTGTTACTTTGTTTTGTGGTGAATTTTCATTGGCTTTCTGAAATTACATAGAAGACTGTTCGAATTTTCTTTCATTAGTGGCCCTAAAATTTTGTCTACTAAAATTATCTTATTGAGATAATAACTTAAAAATCTACATAACCTTCAAATATACAAAACAGAACCTGCTCATTGTACGACCATGAAAATGATTTCCCTTCACATCCGAGCACAACTTGAATTCACTTATCTTGAATACTTCGCTGAAATTTTTATGTGTGATTTATCTGGAAATAAGATTCATGTATGCTTTTTAAGCACATCTTGATTATCCCATACATGCTCACGGCTAACCTAGAGAAACGCCTTTGATATAAAATTTTAAAAATTACCACTAGAATTAAAAATAAATGCAAAATAACTATGGTAATTACGCACATAAAGTCTGTAGAAATATACTTTTCGTAGTTCACATTAGACTGCAGGTACTATCCTCAGAGATATGATTTGAACTCGATAAATGATATTCGACTTTGCAAGAAATTTTGCTCACAGCTGAGATTTTTAAAAGGAATATGATACATTATTTACTGGGTGTTGATTTGTTTTTTGAAGTTTTGGTTTGGGGGTTTCATTTGCAAAGTTGATTTGTTTTTTACAGGATAACTTTTTTATTTTGATAGACTCAAGTGACATGTGTTCTAAAATGCCGTATGAACAGTGATGATCAATACTTGAGAATTAGCTTCAGTTTCTGGCAATGAAAGCGATTGTCTGCAGGGTGAATTTATGGCTTTCTCCCCGTGGAAAATTAGTAACAGCAATGAAGGCATACTTTTCTAAGTAGCTTTGTAGGGACGTTAGGTATATTTTTGGAAGCAAAGGAAATGAAAAATGAGCAACCGCCTTCGCCGGGAATCGAACCACAGACCTCTGAAATAGCGGCTCAGTGTGCTGACCACTACACCACGAAGGCACGCTAAGAAGGCGGGAGAATACCTTATATACTCCCCCTGTTAAAGGGCGACTGGGGTTTTCAGGGGACCCAATCGCCAAATCCTGGGTGGGGAGAAATCATCATCCAACACCCTTTTAGTTTGGGCGCCACTGTAGAGACATTAGGTATATTTTCGGAAGCAAAGGCAATGAAAAATGAGCAACCGCCTTCACCGGGAATCGAACCACGGAGACAAGGTTGGCTCCATGGTAGATTTTCGTGGTTTTCTCCTTGTGTATCATGAATACGAGAGTCAGTTTCTTTTAACCCTTTGCGGCTCAGTGTGTCCGTTTTGAACACACCTAAAAATTTCCTTCTGTACGCACAGAAAAATTGAATGAAAAAGGATTTAACGGTTACTATAGGTTACTCTGAACCTTCTTTATTTATAGTAGATTACAGCTCAACACAAACCAGTCAACATATTTTAGCCATGTTTAGTTTTTTAAGACCCTCATTTTTCAAAGAAATCTTCCAGATTTTTTTAGGGTATAAAAGTAATTGCTTGAAAAGAAATTTCTATGTTATCTTTTTGGCTGTATGCTAATCTCCTTTTTCTATATTAGTTTTAAATTTTTACCTTGAAATCTTGCCTAAAATCAAACGGCGAACCCTAGGTGTGCCCAGACCGGGCTCACGGATAATCTAGGACAATTGAGAGTCTGTATTCTTTGTTTCTCCGCATCTCATCGGTCAGTTCATTGACAACAATGCTCATTTCAGCACTCTTTTTGAAGCTCTATTCAATCAGTGTGCTACTTTGGGCACACCGACAGAATTAAAACGATAAGTGCTATCTTCACAAAATTTTACTTGTGTACTCCTCTAGGCCTAATTAGACTGTCCACCTTTTTTTTATTATTTTATTATTATTATTATTATTATTATTCAAAACTCCTACTTTAAAAGGTCGCGTGTCGGAAACAGGCCTCTACGAAGGCATCCCTCGCATTATAGATAGCTCTCGTCTGCTTTTCCGTATTCAAGTAACCTTTGGACTCTTTCTTTCCTACATCATCACAATTTAATGTTAATTGCTTTCTGATATTTAAACTGTCCGGTTTGTTTTTTCCAGATTCTATTTTGAATCAGGAAATGTTGGGTCGTTAATCTACTTACACATGGTCTATCTGACTCTGAAAAGCATTCGAAACATTGTTCCAGCGTTCCAATGTTGTTCAACGTTCGAAATGTTTTTCAGTTTTATCAAAAGTATTATTTTTATGCCCATGTAGCTATTCTATGATTTTTATCAAGTCAGCTTACATCAGTAAATACATGGTATGGACCAACACTTATTATAAACACAATTAAATATTAATTAACTGTTAAGGCAATGCAGTTTTTAGATAAGTATTTATTTTTAGATCGGTTCTGAGTTCATTTATAGACATGATTTCTTTTATACATGAAAGATATCTAGCTCTGCAAAGTCCGCAATAGTCTTTCTTTACACAATTCCATTTTACATGTTTATCATCACACATTTATTTTTAAAAATGTCACGCCAATACCGATGATACCGATTTTTTAAATGATATTTTATATTAGATTCATACATAAACTGTTAACAGTTTAGGCTTTTTTTATCAATTGTTCAAAAAAAATTTGTAAATCTAACTCTTTTTAACATTTTGTAACTGAAAATTTATATTGTCATCACTTTTTACTGTTGTTTACGTTTTTTTCCTTTCAGTTTTCTGACCAAAGTTCAACGTATATCAGATACCAGCTTCCTGGTAAGAAATTTTTTCAAGGAGTATTGAGAACTTTCATGACACTCGAGAAGCACCACAGCTTTTCATCTTACGTAGTTTGCCCACAAATAACAGATGATTCACTTCCCAGAATTTTCATGCATGCGATTATTTGCACCTGTGACTTAAACATCAGATAAGACGTTGTTCAGAAAATTGGAAGATTTCTTATTATCTTTTATTACTTGTATATAAATAACTTCATTCTTCTGAGAAATTCAATTAGTAGTAATTCTGAAATCATGCTGGTCAAGTTGGCTGTCCTTTGCCTAACGGCTACCGTGTGTTGGGCCGGCTTTGGCACATGTCCAACACCCAAAACCCAGTCTGGATTCGATCTGGATAAGGTAAGAACTGTGTTTAATGCAGTGGTTTTTAAAGTTATCGCATAAAAAGAATGAGATTTGCGACTTTCATTTCAATTTTTTTAAGTCCGAAACAAAACGTAGAATTATACACAGCCTATATTATGCAGATGCTCTAATATTGCAGTGAACATTAAAGAATAATTGCAAAGCTTGCATTGAAATATTTTAGGTAAATAAATTTATAATGGGCATAAACCATTTCATAGTGCAAATTTTAGAAAACGTTTAAGTAACTTTTAGTCAATGCAATATTAGATTAAGTCATAACGTAAAATTATATTATTAGCATATTTTAAGCAAACTATATTATTGTACGTATTTTTCATATTTATTGCACTTACCTAAAGTGCACTTTTATTACAATATATGAAATATTAGAAATAAAATATTAAAACGCTTTTCCTGATTTTGGCTGCACATCAATCCCAGTCTCGGAGCTACAAGTAAGTCAATGGCGGGGCAATAGAAATTAGCCCAATTTTCGGGTCTAGTAGTAGCTTTCTTCAAGAACATCGCTTATATGAACCATAAAAGTCAAACACTTAGACCTGCATTCATGTATAATAATTCGTGAATAATTAAAATTAATCTTTTGTTTCTTAAATAGCGCAAAAAATTGAAATAACAATGCTTTTACTTTAATTAATCCTTTAAACTTTGACTGCGATAGAGGAAATGAATTATGTAAGAAAATATACCGTTGTTTTTATTCAAGAGTTTTCTCCAACCCATATCAGTCTCGGAAAACATGAGTTCTGTCCATTCAAAATACTAAATGACGTATTAAAGAAAGAAAGTGTTTTATTCTGGTGAAGGGCTTTATTACCAGAAGATTTTCTGTAAAAAAAGCCGAATGTTCATGTAGATTGATAATTGAATTTCGTATTTTGTAAGAAACACAAATAAAAAATAACTCTTAATGTAATAGCAAGTATGTAGATTATTTTCTGTAAATTTTCGCATTAAAACAATGCTAACTTGTGTATTGACATTAAGCAATTTAAGTTGCACAACATGTGGGCAGAAATGTCAATGTTATTTAAATGTTTAATATTTATCACTTGTTTCATACATTAAGTTATCATCTTGAGAAAAACGACTAGAGAAGATTAAGATATTCATGCACATTTTTGATAAATATTTCCTTCAAATTTGCTTTAATATTCTTTAATTTATTCAATGATTTTTCTATTGTGTCTCCCGAATGAATATAAAATTTTATACATTTCAGTTTGAAAGAAAATATCCTAAAAAGTACCTAAGCTGTATCTGTATATTAAGTTTGCTTTTCCTCAGGCATTAACAACTGTATCTGTATATTAAGTTTGCTTTTCCTCAGGCATTAACAACTGTATCTGTATATTAAGTTTGCTTTTCCTCAGGCATTAACAACTGTATCTGTATATTAAGTTTGCTTTTCCTCAGGCATTAACAACTGTTTGTTTTATAGTTTATGGGAACATGGTATGAGCTAGAAGCAACTCCTGGCAAGGATAGTCTTACGAAATGTTCTACTTATGTTTTGGAGAAGAAAGAAAAACGAAAGGCTGCTCTTCTTCATAAGTACATTTCTGCAGTGACGTAAGTGTTTGACTACTGCACATGAAAGGATTTCACTTTATAATTTTACATGAAATTGCATAATATATTTGCACAAATTTTAGCTATTTACCAAAAGTTAATAATTTATTCAACAACCTTTATGAGGATGAGATAACAATGAAAAGGATTCTGAAAATTCATTCAATTCTTTTTATTACTTCATCCAGATATATTATTTAATGTGGAACTGCCTTTTCCTAACAGAATTTTTCAATTTACAATTTTATTTCCAAAGCAATCTAATATCATTTCAAATGAATCCTGAATCAGCCAATCAGCAAAATAAAGCTTTCTTTGGAAACTACGATAGATTTCTACAGTTCCATTTATGAAACACATACACACAAAATACTTAAAGAAAGGAATTGCATTTGAGAAACCTAAACTAACGCAATAATTTGCAAATAAAATTACTTATTTTTATTTTGTAAACTTTGAATGTAATAAATTAGCCTATTATTAACCAACGGGCTAGTTTGGTAGTCAATATTGACTTACTAATACGTACTTACATACAAGATATCTTTATCCGAAGTTAAAATAAATGATATTAGTAAAATTACCAATTAAAACTAATTTGCAGCTTAATATCCCATTTGATTACTTTATTGAACAATTACTTTATTGTACTTTATTGTATATTTACTTAGAAATATCGAATGCACTGTTTTACCGTTTTCAATTAATTCATATTCATTTTTTCCTGATAATGAAGATATTTTACAAAATAAAGCTGATCTTGGAGTTGAACTTCGGAAATTTTCAGTATATAGTACAAAGAAAATGTACAAGAAAAAGAAAAGGAAAAGCGCGATAAAAAAACTGCGTTTTCTGCAACAGAATGCCATTAAAATATATTGCAAGTCTTTAGTGAATTATAATTTTGTTTAAACTATTGAAATGTTACGCTAAGCATTAAAGAATCCTGTCTTATTATTCAAATTATCATTATTTTCAGCGGCAAAGTTAAATCATCATTTTCTGAAGTAAGCACTCCTAAGAGTTCGGAGCCAGCACAGCTCTTGGTGTCGCCTCTTAAAGGAACAAGTGAGTACCATACACTAATAAAATAACATAAACCTTACGAATGACATCTTTATTTATATAATTGAGAACAATTTGTAATGACACTGTCTGTATATCTTATGTACTTAAATCTCAATCTTAATTTCTTTCACTCAGAAAAAATTATATTTAATATTGCCTTTTCTTATCAGTAGAAATGGCGGCATATTACCAAAACTCTAGTTATAACACAGTGTAAGTTTTAAATAGGATTTTTTAAATTAGGAACTGTTACTAAAATATGGATATAAAAATGCAGACAGATAGTTGAACCCTCTTAGCACTCAAATATTTGTTTGTGGCCTTTAAATATAATTTGTATAACTTTATGTTTTGTTTTGCCCAACATGAGTAAATTATATCTCGGAGAAGAGTTTTAAGCTGTATTTCTTTAACAGTGTCTGCAATAGATATAAAGTATTTTATTTTTTAATAAATCAGAAAATAATGAAGACAAAATTCATCACATAACTTCGGTGTACGCTTAAAAAGCATACGTTATTTATTAGTATACGCTTGTATATGCGCCTTTTATTCGTACGGAGAACATCAAAGCATTGTTAAATTTTGCGCCAAGTTCAAGCAGTAAGCCTGACTTCCCACAGATATTGTTACACTGACTTCAAGCATATCAGTTTTTCCCCCTCAATTCTCATAAACACTCTTTTTAATGTGCCTCTAAAAGAAAAAGAATAAAAATGGGCAATATCATATTATTTTGTGGCCAAAAATTAATTCGTCCATACTCTTGAAAAACAATTGCTTGGATCGTCACAATAAACGTAACAGAGTAGAGGATAAACTTTTAGAGTTGCAAGAATAAAGAAGTTTCTAACATGTCTAAGAATGTTGTATGTCTGTCATTTTCCTGTAAAAGAAATGGTCAGTGATGCCGAAGTAGCAAATACCACCACTAATTATGAAGATTCTCTAACTTGCGAATATGTATTTTGCGGTGATTCATTGTTTCTAAAACGTGGAAAAAAGAAGAACTTGCTGCTAAGAAATTCTTCATCATCTCTATTCTTTCTAACATGCGTATTGCAAAATCCGTTCTTCTAAGTTTGTCTTCTTGTTCAAAGACGTCTAGTGTTGAACCTTTTAGAAACAGTCTCAAACTATCTAGATATGTTCAGCTTCTCTTGATCGTTAGAGATGTTTTGAGACTGAGTAGGAAAGCTTCTTGGATTTGCTGATTATCGTCATTGCTTGGGCTCTGCCGACCTGGATTCTTTTATTTTTTAGGATACGCTTAAAAGTTTTCATTTACACGCGAAGATGGTTCTAGAAGTAGGATTTATTTAGTAATGTGGTTTGAAGTTTATTTTACTTTGCTTCACCGCCTGCAGTTTAATAAATATATACACAATTCAAGTTCTATTTTATTAAATGATATTTTTTAGCCTGTGGAACAGCGTGCTATGTACAAAAGCTTTCGTGCTACTACTCACTGTGGGACCTACATGTCTGTTAAAGAAGACAAAACCCTCTATTATATTAATGTTAGGCGCTATCTTGCAAATGTAGATTTGGAAACTTTTGCTGCAAAAATCATTTCCCTTAATTGTGTGACTGTTAGATATGTGATAGTTAGGTACTTTCACTGTTTCACGGTATGCATGTTGTTTGTATCCATACCAAATTTTATTAGCGTTTGTCCAATACTTTTCGAGAAAATCGAACTTTCTCTTAATTTCAGCACAAGTGCAATATTTTACTGGCTGTCGAGTAGTAGCGAAGTTCTACTGTACTATAATTCCGTGTACTTAAATTACTAATTTTTAGCTTTTCAAGAATCAAGAATCTGTGCATACTTTTGGCAAACATAATGGTGCTAGTATCAATGTCCTGAACTCGAACAGTGAGCTGAATGCAGCTATGTTCTTAAGAGTGCTAGAAGATTTACAACGTAAGAAGGGTGTAAAAGACCCTTTATTGAAATCACTATTTACAGCAACTCCCAACTCGGGAGTGATACAGAAAGAAAAATAATAATCGCGCTTGGTCTTGAACAATCAAGCAATTTAAAAGTAAAACTTCAGTAGATATTTAATAGTTGCTGTCACAAAGCTAAACGCGAGATTGGCCTATTTATGGTGCATAGCAAGCCTTGATAAGTACTAACGCACTTAAATCACTTCCATCAGTAATTGAGGAATAGCATAAGGCGTAAGAATTTAAATAACTAACTATTCTGGCGAACGTCCACAAGCCGACGTGGTCTGAGACTAAAAGCTCTCTCTCACACTGAGAAGTTCTCACTAATCTTAAATACAAAAACTTGGCTCCACACAAATTAGAAGCTGAACCGTGCGCTCATTCTGAAGGGAAGTTGAAATAAGAGTTTACAGGAAAGGGTAACTTAAACTAAAAAGAAATTTGGTTAGTTTAACTTAAAACCTTACAAGCATTATAAAACCGCTTAAATCTGAAAAAGTGCTCCATCAAATTCAATGGATGAAATTTAATTTTCTCCTAATTAGGTACAGAGTAACCAAAAGACGTCTGATGAGAAAGGAGTTAGTCTCAAAAATTTGGTAACAAAGACATAATGAATGAATAATCCGTTCTTTATTAATGCATAAATTCGATGCGCTGAGCGGAATACTGGTTGAAAGTACTGCATGAAAAGCGTTAAATATTATCAAAATTCTTAACAATGTTTGACTCGCCACTATAAACATGGATCGTACACTGTTAAGTCTGGACATTCGATAAACGAAATACCATTTTTATTACAAGCTGAGTGCGATATTATTATTTTATTACTATTATTTTTGGTCTTATTTCCGTGATGTGAAAATCTGTGAACTTGAAAAACTCAGAAACAGCAACTTAGTCTCATAATGTATCATATCTCCATTTATAATGTACACAAGCAAACATGAAACTCGAAATCACATGAGAAACTAAAGCTGAAATTATTCTATAACACGCATTGCTTCCACAACAAATCTGTAAAAAATCTGTGAACAAAAATGGTGTTCATAAACGCTCACTGAATAATGTAAAATTCGTGGAATCAGATCATCAGAATCATTGAATTCTTTTAAATTGCACGGCATTTAAAAGTGAAGGAAATCCACTCATAAATTTAATATTTTGAAACTTAATAATCACATGGTTCTTTTCTCTCCTTCAGGTATCATTATTTAACTGTTTTTCTATTTTCTTTTTTTAATACAGAGATATAAATAAATGCCTATCAATATTTATAAATACTTACCTCTGCTTTTATCTCTTCCGTTTTTAGTTATGTCAAGAAAATGGAATTTGTGGGTCGTCGACACCGATTATGAAACTTATGCTATCACTTACACCTGTCATCAAGTATTACTTAATTTTTATGGTACGTATACATTATATATGCTTTTATATTTTTATTGTTTAAGAACTTTCATTTAAAAATGCATAATAAAGACTGCTACACTAAATGCATAAAAATTTGATGTTTGGAGTCATAAGCTAATTTTCAAAAGCAAAGGATAGACAGATTGGGATTCAAAGCGAAAATTAAGCTTGTATCTTCTCTATGATATACTAAAACCAATTAATCAAGATAAAGCAAGCAGACGTTTATAAAACATTGTTTATATAAAAATGTGTCTTTAGTACTCAAAAGAAGAATTTGCACATTCTAGCATGAGCATACAAATTGTTTATTCATATTTTGTAAGGTAGATGTATAAAGAATAAAAAAGTTATTAAGATTACTAATCTTCATGTTTAGACAGGGATATAGGGGTATACAGTTATGAAGAACGATCGCACGAATAAAGTGTGGCCAGAGAGTGTACATAACGCTGAGCTTAATCATAATAGGGGACATAAACAAAAACAAAACCTTTCCCAGTTGCATTCTCATTTTCATCAACAGCAGGTAGGGAGCCAAATAGGGACTCTGTTTTGCAAACGCTCTGTATACAGCATTAACACCCATGTTATTAATGTTGACATAGGTCTAATCCAGGATTCGAACCTATGTCTGAACGCGTGACAGTTAGATTCGCAAAGCAATGTACCACCGTAGATATGTTTTACAAGTTTATGAAAAATTGCGCAGATATTTCTGGATTTCGTGCTTGTACTTTGATGCTGGTTCTCAGGATAACAGAAAGAGATTGAGAACATATGGGTATTGTAATCCCCGGATATTTATCTGATAATCTGCAGCTTAACCAATCAGGGACATCGAAATACAAACTACACAACGTTAAAATTTAAATGAAAAATTACTTCTGGGGTATATTGGATCTAAAAAAGAAATAAATACCAGCGATATATTTCAAAAAGTAATCTTCTAACTCTGCACATGATTTTCTCAAAATTTGCTCACCCAATGGATTTCTGAATTACTTCAGAATTGTCTGAGAGTTACTTAAAATCTGATTTCCACAAAGCACATCCACGAAGTTCCGATTTACACAAAGCAGATCCACGATGTTTTATTTGATCGCAACTAATGGCTTACAAACGAAGAGAAAATATACAATTCAAAATTTTTAATTGCTTATCCATACGAAGTTTCTGACAAATCAGACTACCTTTTACTGATGAATAATTGTCATAGGCATTCTGTAAGCACGGCATCCGATTTTGATTATTATCTAACCAACAACAGAAAGAGTTTACTGACTACCTAGAACCGAAAAAGACTCGATGCGGTCTATATCAATGTTACTTCCTTTCTAGACTCAAAAGCCGGATCGTAGAAAACAATCACTAATAACGAAGAAGCTCTTCACGCAGAATAGCATAAGTTTCAAATAACTTTCACTTCATTGGCTTTTAAAGTTCTTGTACGTGCTTTACATTTGCGTAATTTTCTCGTCTGAGCAGATATATGGGACATGAAACAAAGAGAAGCTAGGAGTGAATTTAACACAACTGCTAACTGAACTTAAAATAAATGTCACAATCTGAAGTGGAATTTTCTGAGTCTTAAATAACGTTTTTCATTAAATTAATTCCAAAATTTTAATTAAAGTACTGTGAATTACACTTTGTGATAATGAACTACCTTTGATGAAAATTGCTGTAGAATTTGTTACGATACTCATATATTTTAAAGTAATTATTTCAAACAGAAATAAAAGTATACAGTTTGCTTCATAAACGAAAAAAGAGTCATATCATTGACATCGACTGAGATTTAATTAGCAGGAAATGTGGAGACTATAAATGATATTTTTCAAAAGTTTTTTTTTTTTTTTTGCAAGAATTTGGAACCTTTGAAGTTAATGAATTCTAAAAAGCGCTTTTAGTTTTAAAAATTGGCCATTTTACATTAAAATAATGTCTGTATCAGTTTCATCCTAGCTTGCTAATATGCCTAATAAAAAAGTGCCTTCATTCTTTGAGTTAAATTACCAATAAGACTGTACTTTCTAAATTTTAATACGTTGAGCCATCCAACTGTGGCGATGCTGACTGTCGCACCGAAGTTTAGGGATCAGTTTAGCGATGCTGACTGCCATTCCGAAGGGCCCGGATTCGAATCCTATAGAAGGCAGAGATGTTTGTAAATTTATAGTGTCTGCCCAATATGAGAGTACTCTAAATATGCACTAGCTGAAGTCCTCTCGAGATGTTGCTGATAAAGGAAGAAGGGTAGGAGACCCTTGGAACCGTCCCATCGGGATGCTCCCTCTCAAAATTTGAACGGAACTGAGATAAAATCGGTTTGTCGGGCTAGGTGATACTCAAAGGATTTGCCAATAACAGGCGCGATTGACTCTTACCACGATGAATGTCGTAGGCTTGTGCTGATTTTGTCAGACATGTGAGATTGATAGCAGCAATAGTATGTTTGAAATTGTTTCAAAGATTATTCTTGTTGTGAGTCGGCTTTAAGCTTTAACTTTCTTGTGAGCTCCAAGTGTTTAATTAAAATATTCGAAACAATTTCAAATTTTCAAACAATCTATTGGTTGTATTCTGATTTTTTAATATAGTTTATTCAATTCATAATTTTAAAGCAGCTTAATCACTTTGCTTATACAGTTCTAATTCTCATATCTTGGAGTACAGGTTTTATAAAGGCTTCATGCATAATGTGTGGAGTAGAAAGCGCACATAATTAGCATGATGTCTTAGGTATCCCGCCTCCTCGTGGGCAAATAAAAATGTAACAAACTTCCATATTAATTTACATGGCCGCAGTGGGAGAGCTAAAAATATTATTCATTCCTCATCATTTCAGAAATGATACAAATCCCATCTTCATTAGCATAAGTAATTTTTTAGTAAAAAATAAAATTCTTTTTTAAATAGTTTGACAGGTCCTGATCTCAATGACTTGGTCATAAATGGCCTTATTTCTTAGACAAAGTTCTACTTTTTATCAAGCAGAGCTTTTTGCTATCATACCGGCATTCATTACGGCTCTGATGCAAAATCACACAGTCATTAGCTACACAAATTATATATTTGGCATGAAAGCAAAGATTGTGGTATTTCATTGAAAGCAAGGACTGCGTACATTGGCATTCAAAATTATGAAACTTCTCATACATTAAAAAATCAGAATAGAAACAGAGTTAAATTTCTCTTAGGTCTCCTTGATCACGAATTTATTGATTCCATCACCCACCAATATGGTCGCCTCTTTATCAAATCCATCTTCCAAACTAAAGCGTAATTACACTCTACGACTAAACTAAACTAAAGCGTAATTACACATACACACTCTTACGACATTTGGACGGTTTCCTGGAACATATTTTCATACTGGAAAAGCCCATTTGATTAGTTTTTAATTGTATGTCCTTGAACTTATGTCCAATTTTTAATTAGCCATGCAACACTGCGTGACTCCTGCATATCTTCACTGTCTGGGAGATGAGGCTTTTTATGTATATAATTGCGCATAAGCCTCCCGGAGAGAAATCTGTCACAATTGCTTCCCTCAATGCATCATTTTCCAACATCATCTTTCTCAATTTTCCCCCGCAATAATCCTTTCAGTCTGGAACAGAAAACTTACAAGTAATTAGGCGACTCTTAAGAAAGCTTTTAAAGTCGCGAACTTAATAAATGCATTCGCCGTATACTTCCAGTTTCCCTAGACGCTTGGTATTAGTTTTCTGCACTAATTTTATTTTGGTTTCTTTTGTGCTGTTGGGATAGAAGGGTAAGCTCCTTACCGGAGATTTCCAGATTCTTTCTTTTCCGTTGCACCATATCGCAAAATCGTGCCGATCGATCTGTTGCTAGCGGTCATCCCTCTCATCGGTAACCCCTGCCAACTGAATCTTTCCCGATTCACCCCCCCCTTTTTCTAAAGGTTGAGAGAGTCATTTGTTGTTTCAGAAAGCACTTCATGATAAATACTCTTTGACTATTTAACTAAACAATCTAATCAATACGCCAATTGATGTGAATAAAATTTGGAATGAAGCACAACGTAAAATGCAATTCTATTTCCATCGTATATGATTATTCTAACTTTGCTTTTTAGCATTTCATACATTTGTGTTTGAAACGTGATCATGGCTTAGCGAAACCTGAATTTATTGAAAACAGCTGTGGTCATACAGCGCTAATTTCAAAGGTAGACCATAAACATTAAAAAGGTCCTTTAAAAATTGGCTAGATTTGTAGAGAAACTTACTGTAATGAGGCGTTACTAGCAAAATCCGAAGATGATATATTACAAGAAAAATAAAAATATCATGCATATAAAAAAATAAAATAATAATATAACAAACTAATGCAACAAAAGTAAAAACTAATATAACAATATCGCTTACATTACTGTTAAATCTCCACTTTTGAAAGGAATCGGTATTTAGGAGAACATAAATTTTGGTACTGAATATTACCTCACTAAGACTACCACAGAGCTCTAAAATCTTCTAAAACCGTAATGGTTTCGCAGTTAAAGAGGCTCATTTTGAATAAAACATGTACAGTAAGCTCAAATACTAATCTTTTATATTTTAATTTCTTTCAAACCAGCGGAACCTTAGTTCTATTCCTTAAAAATAAAAAAGTAAAAAAGAAAAAAAAATTAGTAAATAAATTAGATAGCATATGATAAAATCGTAAATAGTTTCAGATATATATACTTTGAACATGCGGATAGTTTATAATACTTCTCAGAACAAATTCTCTCAAGGGAATATTAAATAAATATTGGAAATCCAAAGCTAAGGCAGTAAGGGCCACCTCGTCTAAACCATTTTAAAAGATGGGTAAGCGTTCATTGTATGTAGAAGTGATTTTTCGAGCAGCAAATGAAACGAGAAATAGAGAAACAATGGGGAAAGAAAGCGGACGATTCGGCACTATTTGGAGCTGAATATGATTGGTTTATTTAATTAGGGCAAAGCACGAGTGGGCTCAGGGAAGGGATACCTTCATGGAAAACTTTCTAAGGAAAACTGGTTCGTATAACCATTTAAAAGCACGAAAATGTCCATGCAGCCAACCTGTTCCGCCTGGAATAGAACCCAGGTCGGAACTACCAGAGTTCAGCGAATTTGCGACTCGGCCGCTGGTGGGCCCTGAACTGATGATGAATCAGAAAAGGATACAATGGCCTTAAGCCCTCTGTAGCAGGTCAGCAGTTGTTCAGCGGAGCTACGGCAACAGAAATAACAATACCTTTCCCTGCCAACATGGACTTGATTGAAAGGACTTTTCGTCTGTGCAGAGTTTAGAAGATCCCACACCATACACTATACATTTACAAACATCTGTGCTTTCGTAGGGGCTGTAAATCGAACCTAACGATGTATAGGTATGAAAAAGATTACTTTAGATATTTATAATAATGTAGATTACTGTTCGTTTCCTCGAAGAAGCATAAACTGAGTATATATCGTAGTTCCCTGTATCCTCGTAGAAGAATAAATTTAACAGACTCATTAAAAGATCATTAAGAAGGCTTGATATAGGAAAATTGAGCTCTATCATATTAGAAATCAAAGAAAATACAGATGTTCCTTTATGCATTATTTTGATATCTTTCAACCCGATGAGTTTACTTGATACAAAATCAATTAAACATTTATGTAATGTAATATCAGACACTAATTTGGGCATAATTAAAACTAATGCTGAATGAAACTGAAAACAATTTCTGCCAAAATGACAGAATATCTGAAATTAGTAAAACGAAGTTTGCTTCGGAAAGCAGTGGGAAAACATTATTGATTACAAAAGACTATGCACGTTGTTGCTTCAGCCTGTAAACTCTATTTCACCTAAACATTTTTGTAAAATAGAAATGATTTGAAAAAAAAAGTAATTTAAAATTTTATGCATAATGCTATTGGTAAGACCCGCCTAACGCTAGAGGGCGCTGAGAGCGTCAATGAGTGTGTTCTGAGACTCGATGGAAGTTACTCGATGGAGGATGTGCGATTTCTGAGATTGAGATATTATTATATTTAATTAAATCAATTTATATTTTATTGATTTGTGATTATTGATTTTGATATATTCATATTTGAAGTGATATTATGTTTTGCTGAACCACCACACTTTCGACAAACTTGGATTACTACTGAATCTTAAAACCACTAATGCGCAGCTATCTTCTTCGTTAGAGATGGTTTCTTCTCTTTTATTCTATAATATTATATTTAATATTTACAAAACGTTCTAAAATAATATAGCCAAATTAGCTATTTAATCTAATTTATCTTTTGACGTATACAGCATAAAACTCTTTCGTCTCCATAAAAAAGGTCTAAAAAAAGCAAAAAAGAAAAATTTCCAGCTTTTATAAAATATGAATAGTCTCTTATTCTGGTAATAAACTTTAATATTTGAACCACAGACCAGAAAAATATTCTTCTTAGTTTTCAAACAGCTTTTAAATATAGTATTGGTTAATGATTCTGCAACAAATTAAAAATGCCTTAGGAAATAACGCATTTATATCGAACAAGTGGTTTTTCATATTTGGAAAATATATAAAGTAAAATCGCATCAACTTTGCACATATTAATTTTCTTTCTTTGCAGAGGAAGCACGCATTTTGTCCCGTACAAAAACTCTAGATGACAAGAAAAAAATGGAGATTTATGCGATTATGAACAAGAATAATCTTCCACAAAAGAGCCTTATAGAGATTGACCAGACACACAAGGACTGTTCGAAAGTCGACAACTGACCCTCCAAATAAAGAAATGAAACTTTTTTTAGATTCATGCTTAATAAACAATATTGTAAACATACGCTGTGTTTTCCTTTCGTTCTCACTAAAAGTTGAATTATATCGTTTTCAATAAAGGTGCTTTATTAAAAAAATTAGGAAGTCATGTATTAATTAGCAAATATTTTATTTTTTATCTAAAATGTAAGAAAACTATTATATGAGCAACTGAAAGTCGGCAACATTCATATAAAAACTGTTATCGAAAAGCATGTTTGAAAATAGGATGAACAGCGAAAATGCTTAATGCAGAGATTTGAAGGATAGCGTCATATAACAAGACATTGTAACGACTTGGAAAAATTATTGGTGGAGTCGTTAGTGCTAATAGTTATCGAGTAACTTATGTAGAAGATGTACTTGCAGTCAACGGGAAAATTGTCATCTGTGCTTCAGAGAAATGATGAAAGATGTCACTCAAAAAAAAAAAAAAAAAAAAAAAAAAACACTAAAACACTTTGAGAGTCTATGACCATTGTTACCGGATTCGGTTAGAAGATATACCTCATTGAGAAAAAGGTAAGGATCACTCGAGAAAAGCACTGTTATGTTAATTTTAACTTTTAAGGAATATGAAATATTTTTAAAAAGAAAACGAATAATTTTTGCCGATTAAAATTGTTAGCTTTTAGATAGATGATTTATCTGAGTGGCTGGGTTGGCACAAAGTTATGAAGGTACTTGTTACTAACAACAGCCGGACGATGCAACATCATCGAGATGCTTCCTACGAATATCCTGCTCGATAAATAAATGCTTTTAAGTTCATGAATGGTTCCAGGGTTACTTCAATTTTCTTAAATCCCTATTGCCAAACAGAACTAGTAAACAGTGTAAAAATGTGAAGGTTTTGGAATGAACATAGTCCTTGTCGCTGATGAAAAGAAGCTGATGCCAGTTATGACTTATTGAAATGAAAGAAGTCAACAATATATTCATATGAACAGACATCTTTTATATATAATATATATATATATATAATATTCCTTAATAATAAGAAATAAACTTAAATGAGCTTTAATATTTTGATAAGTATTTAAAAGAGTAATACATCTGTTTGGAAAATTTCTCCTTTCTTTTTAGAAGATCCCTTCTCTCTCCGAATTGGTTTAGCGTGAATAAAACTCATTCTTAGCCAGATTCGTAGTAAGTCTATATAAGACTGTGTTGAGAAGCTACAGGCTGTCAATAAATTTATGATTTTGAGGGAGATATTGTTAAAAGTTTCTGAGTTATTGGATACACATTTCATACCTACTCATGTATATTTTCCCATTAATTTTGCATAATCAAATGTGCATCGTAACTCTAAGATCGGAAAAGACCACAGGGATGCAGTTTGCAACTATTACTAGCAGCTCACTGTACTGAAGATAAGATACCTGCAATCACGGACTTAAAGTAGGAAAAAAATTACAAATTTGTATCAGATTTAAGATTTAATGGAAGGTTTCTAAGATTTAAGCAACAATCATAGCTGCAAAAGCAAAATAACTCAGAATTTTACTTTATTATTTCTCAAACATATTGCACAAATATGGCAACATCAGCGACCGCTTCGTAGGGTGCTTGATCTTTGATTGTGAAGTGTATTGGATGATTGCTTCTTCCTTGCAAACGGGTGTAGCTGAGAAATGGTTGACAGCGTCTCTTCTCACTCGTTAGCTGCAGTTTTATAAAACTCTTCACTGGGTGCCACTGTCATGTGACAGTAGCCGGATGCTGTATGATTAGCGATAGAAATGGTGAAGATTTAGGCTTGCTTCACCAGAATGGACTCAAAAGGAACTGGATGATTGCTTGTATTGGATGATTGCTTCTTCCTTGCAAATGAGTGTAGCTGCGAAATGGTTGACAGCTGTAATTTGATAAACTCTCCATTGGGTGCCACAATCATGTAACAGCAGCCGGTTGCTGTGTGATTAGCGATAGAAATGGCTGAAGATTTGAAGGAATCTTACTAGCTTGCTTCACCAGAATGGGGTGAAAATGAATGGAACAGGTAGTTGGTAAATTTCCCCCCGGCTTGTCAAATTTCAGCTAGACATCTTGATATATCTTGTGATCCGTGGTCTTACATGTAGGCGTGAAGAATATCTTTTTTTAAGAAGCAGAAGTTAAGGTATGCAAAAGAAAGTTGTATGCTCAATTTTGGCAAGCCTGGTGAGAAATCATGACTTGTTCTTAATAAATCAATATTGTCTTTTTTCATCATCGTCTATCAGAAGAAGGATAATATAGAGGTCACCTAAAGAGGAAAAAAAAACGTTGGGGATAAATCTTCGACTGCGCAAAGAGCTAACACGAGGAATTTATAGTCCTTATGTATTTTGAGTATTAAGAATGTCCTTCTCGATGGCCAAGGTCTTGAGTAAGGAAAGATATGTAGCTGGAAGTGGCCAAAGTTTTATAGATGTCAGTCTTCAATTAAAGGTATTGGGCCATGTTTAGAATTTATCCGAAGACTTTTCAAGAAATTTCTCAAAGAAATCCAGAACTAGAATTGAGAAATTTCACGAGTAATAAGTGAACTTCTATATACATTTCTAAAAATTTTTTTCAAAAGTTTATAAGTTAGCTAAATAGTTATCTTTTCAGTAGTTAAGTTAGCTAAATAGTTACCTTTTCAGTAGTTAAATTATCTAAATAGTTACCTTATCTCCATGTAGGGTGCTTTACCTTTGAGCGTAAGCTGTATTTGGGTGAAAAGGTAGGGCGTGAAATTTTCTTTTTCCGTCTACGACAATTTTCTTGGCCATTTCCACACACATATTAAATTGCCGTTTGATGCCATAGAGATGGACAGCAGCAACCTCGATTTTGAGAAAGACTTTGTTCTTAGTAGAATTCAGGAAATATTTCAGGTCTCTGACGCATTCTTATCGTACTGAGTATTCCAAGACATGGCGGAAGCACCTAACATGGCTTCTTTAGCGACTGTTATGATGCTATATGGAGGAAAATCAATATACACTGCTGGCCACCCAAATTGTAACACCAAGAAAGACAAGAGATATCACAACAAAATTTATTTAGTAGATAATATGTTGACCAAGTAGCAAATGATTAAATTTATAAATTTATGTAAAGTGTGCTTCCTTCCAGAATCATTAGCCAGCGTAGCAGCTATTGTTGGAGATCACCGCTGCCACACGCCTCGACATTGATTCAAAGAGACTTTGGATGTGTTCTTGGGGTACAGCAGACCAAGCAACTTCCATACGTTGCCAAAGTTGATCTGGTGTGGCAGCTTGGGATGTAATCTGGGTCAATCGTTCAGCAACCATGGACCCCATGTTTTCTATCGGCGAAACATCCGGAGAGCGAGCCGCCACGGAAGCAATTCACTCTGGAGATTGACGAAGAACCCTTGGACAATGCGTGCATTGTCCTGTTGAAATATGGCTTATCCTGTTGAAATATGGCTTATCCTGTTGAAATATGGCTTATCCTGTTGAAATATGGCTGTGGGCAAGCCCTGAAGGTAAGGAAGGACAACTGGCTCCAACACCTCGGAGATGTAGCGCTGGTTGTTTAAAGTACAGACAATGCGTACTAGAGGAGTGCGAGAGTGATATCCAATACCGCCCCATACTATAATACCCGGTGCAGGACCAGTGTGGCGATGCATAACGCAGCTGTTCAGCATCCTCTCTCCACGCTGTCTCCAGACTCCAATCCAACCATCGTGGTGTTGCAGACAGAAGCATGACTCGTCAGTAAAGACAATTTGATTCCATTCTGCCGTCCACATCCTTCTCTCATCGCACCATTGGCGGCGGAGACGTCTGTGGTTCTGCGTCAAGGGTAAAGGAAGCAATGGACGTCTTGCGGACAGACCACTCTGCTGTAAACGGCGTCGAATGGTACGCGCAGACACTGTATGATGCGTTATAGACTGAATGTGCTGTGCTGTGGTTCGTGATGTGACTGAGCGATCCGTCACTGCCATGCGCACAATGTTCCTGTCATCACGTGAAGTGGTGCATTGAGGTGGATGCGATCGAACACATCTGTCCGTCGTACCCTCCTGCATCCAACGGTCACATATCCGCATTATAGCTGTTTGGTTTCGTCCAACACGACTACCGATTTCCTTGAAAGATAATCTACACTCTCAGTAGGCCACTATCCTTCCTCTGTCGAACTCGGAGTCTCAAGTTTTTGTCTGAGCGTCAAAAACTTGATTAAACGACGATCACTGTTTACTACGAGGCATAGTTGATCGTTGTTTAGAAAAAACCACAAGAAAAACACAATTGCCGAACTTGAAATCGTCAAAAACTCCAAGAATAATAGCATTTTGAAGTGGCGCCACAGACGCGCGTTATGTGCGTCTGCGCTGAAATTCTAATCATTTGCATATCTCACCTCCGCTAATGCATGTTGTAAATTTCATGTTATTTGCATGCTTACTTCAGGGTGTTGCATTTACGGTGGCCAGCAGTGTATTTGAAAACAACATTGCAAATTGAATTTATTGAATATTATATAATCGATATAGAAAATTACATTGCCAACTGTAGATTTCAATCGATATTGAAATTCCTATATGAATTAATTCTATTTTTCCAGTACTTACTTGTAAATGTGAAATACAATCCGTCAATATTAATAACTATTTCTGATGATAAAGTTAAAGAACCTTTTCCTCTCAGATATTGATTTTACAGAGGTGTGAAAATTACTAGATTAAAAAAAATTAAACTTTCTTAGTTTTTTCTTTAATTTCAAATACTCAAGTTATTCAATTTTAAATTATTAATCTAAATCTCCTTTGTTATTATAAAAACGTTATTTTATAAAATGGTATAGTGTAGATACACTTTTTATGAAAAAAAAATTAAAAGAATAAAAATTTCAACTTGGTTGCGATTCAATGCAATAATAATATGATAGTCATTTTTTCTCTAACCTCAGTTCCACATTACGTTAGCTCGGTTGCCTAATTTTTTAGTTATTTAAAATGTAAATTATTATTTTTGTATATAACCATGTACTTTATTAATACCTTAATTTCGTATTTCTTGTGCATTTTATGGGTAAAACAAGTGATTTTTCTCTAAGAAAAACTGCATTTATTAAATGCTTTTGC